TACTACTAGTAAGGCACTTGTTACTACTAGCGTGGCACTTGTTCCTAATAGCTTCTTGTTACTACTAGTAAGGCACTTGTTACTACTAGCGTGGCACTTGTTACTACTAATGAAGCCTACTGCAGATCGACCGCACAAACATGGACCCCATGTTTAATCACTGATGGTTGGTCGAAACGGAACATGGTCGAAACGGATGAGTTAGTTCGCCGGGTCCATGTGAGCCTTCGCAGGGTCCATGTTAGCCTGGGGTGTCATGAACATGGGGAGGCTTCTGGCTGGGTTGTCACCTTCTGTGGTAGGCACTGGTCATTTGCGTGGGAAGAGCACCTTGGATTTGCCACACAGATTCCCTTATTCCGCAGAAGGGGATTCACCCATAGGGAAAAATCAAATCACCCTTAGCACAACCAGGCCGCACAACCCATTCAAATTATATACTCGTTGTTCGTATCAAGCACCTCGGACCCTCTGACCAGGCTGGTGTGAACATACCACGAGCCAGCCCAGTTTTACGCTCATGCACCTCCATCTTCCTTCCCAGTTCTCCAAGCGCACCTGCTGCTGTAGGAAGTCATGGCTGGTCAAGGACACACTCACGCCTTTCCAAGCCTCGGTCGTAATTCCAGCACACTTGGATGGGACAGTGGAGTCCGTACCTCCACAGGACTTGAGGCGCAACTCGAGGCTGAGTTTTCATGGGGGAGGTTGGATTCCTGTCTGGGCCAGACTTGTCTTCAGAAGGGATTCAGAATGCATCTAGGTTTTGAGACATCCGAAGACCGAAAAGATTCTTTATACAAGCTGTCTATTTTTAAATACATAATAGACTATAGAACGTAATGATTCCTGCTACAAGGATTCCAGGATTCTCGTTTGGTGTGATTCATCACAGAAGGTCCCTTAGAAATCCAAGAGATTCTTTCGGCCATCCTCGTTGGCGAGAGGCTTCTTTGGTTTCTGCAAGGTTCTGGTTCCTCATCCTTCATCTCCCAAGTGTCTCCAAAGTGTCTTCCCAAATAGAAGGTATACCGATTGGAGGACAATTTGCCTCTCAAAGAACGCTGCCCCTGTCCCAGTCCATGTCTTCTGATTGTGGCGAACGGTGAACCCGTCGAGCCGAGCTGGATGATTCCTGAAGCCCAGTCCCCAAATCGCCGTCGAAGACCTGATCGCGTCTCCAGTCCCTCGAGTCCTCCGAGTCCTCCGAAACCTCAGCTCAACAGTCTTCCAGATTCTCGCCGTTCTTCATCTCACCCCCCTTCTGGTTTTCATCTCCCTCTCTCCCCCCCGATCCAACCGCTCCGCCCAACGGCCAGAGCGCAAACCGGCGTAAGCCCGCGTAAGCTATAGGCGTCCGGACGTGGGGCACCATGTTGGAGTGATCTCCGAAGACGCCACTGGGCGTGTTGACGCCTCCGACCTGGGGCGACGCGTGTTGCGGCTCCAGAGAGGCGGAGAGAGAGGTGAAAACCAACCGTGGGAAACGCTCCGAGCTGCTATTATTACCCCATACACCCCATAGGACTGGCCTATTGATCATGATTGATCTACCACTTAGTGTGGTTTCAACTGAAAAACGGTCCATTGGATGGTCCATAGGACCGGCGGCATCTTGTTCCGTCTTCCACACCCGTGCCGCGTCATCCACGCCCGTGCCGCGCAGGCGGCCGGGGCCCCCCCCACACCACGGTAGATCACGAAGCCCGGGTCCAGCGCCGAGGTTTCCCGAGGCCTGAGCTGGTTGATGCTAGAGTAAATGCAGGGTTTTCTGGATGGAGTGGGACGCTGTTGGATGGACTTGACACTTAAAACTTAAAACCAACTGAAACCGGCCCCCTGGGGAGTTGCTGTACTTCTTCAGTCTGAGTCCAGGCCCTGGACCTTTTCCAAAGGACCAGGACCTCGAGTCCTTTGATTCAACTGACGCCCTGATGCAGTCAGGTGGACATCCCCAAGCTCTGGTGTCCACCCTTGCGATTTCGGTGGCCCAAACTCCTGCTGTGTGTAGATCAACTTCACGGACGGACTCAAATAAAAATAAAAAAGCTCCCTGCACAGCAGCCTTGGTCCCTCCCAAACCGAACGGTCCCTCCGCTGCTCCCCTCCGAACATCCAACGAAACGGCGGCGTAGTAAGGAGCTCCGTGTCGATGGAGATGGCCGTTGGTTAGCAAGAGAATAAGGCGAACAGCAAAAAGGCGAGTGTGCGTACAGTTCAAGAGAAATGGGACAAATATAGTTGGACCACCTATAAAGGAAAGTGGTTTATACACACCCATGGCCCATGGCCATTGGACTATGACTGATGACTAACTGGAACATTTAGGTGCACTCGGTGAAAAACAAGACCTGGGGACTCAGTCTCTTTTCGGACCAATTCATCAAGACCAAGTGCAACTTCTGCCAGAAAGCTCCATGTGCCATCTGCTACTTGACCTCCACCTCTTTCACCTCCTTGACCCAACATTCTCCGGAACCTCCGCCTCGGACCCCGGGCGGCTTGTTGCAGAAAAGACGGTTCAAACCTCAGGCGCCAGTTGCTTTCGTTCATGGCGAACAGCGAAGGGTGCGATGAAAAAGCATCGAAAAGGGTGGACCACGGTTGGCCAGATCGACTATCGGTCAGTCTATATGTTCTTTTTGCTCGAAGTGGAGCCAGTGCACTACCAATGGTTCGAGTGGTTTGCCTGGATCTGAGATGGTTCTAATTGAGAGCGGCAACCCTCAAAGGCCAAGCTCCCAATCATAGAGCCAGAAATGGTCAAGTTCGACAGTGACACACAAATTCCGAAACGCCTCATCGCAATGAAGGTCACTGAGTTTGAGATGGTCAAGTTCGCCAAAGATCTGCAATCCTCAAAGGCACTCTTCCCACTGTGGGTCACTGAGTTTGGGATGGTCACGCTCACCAAAGAGCTGCAAACCCGAAAAGCACCATCTCCAATGTAGCTCACTGAGTCTGGGATGGTCAAGTTCGCCAAAGATCTGCAATTCTCAAAGGGACTCTTCCCAATGTGGGTCACTGAGTCTGGGATGGTCAATTTTGCCATCATCCTGCTGCCTTGGAAGGCCCTCGCGGCAATTTCAGTGTCGTGGCTTGGGATTTCAACGGCCAGCAAATGTTCCGGGTCAATTTCACTGCTAAAGGTAATTAGCGATGGCACCTCGGCTGGCTCGGCTGGAGCACCTCGCGGTGTTGGATCTGAAAACAACAGTGACAATCAAATCTGCCAGCCGTGCATCTGCAACCTTCTCATGATTGCCCAGCAACCTGTCTCCGACAACCAGAGTCGCAATGGTAGTTCTGCGAGTAGCCTCGTCCCAGTAGTTCTGTGCTTCGATCTGCAGCTTTAGCTCTTTACCCGTCATCTCCCGGGACTTCGAGAGCATTTCACCATTGATCTGAGATAGAAAGTCTCATCGCGGCAAGTCTACAATCACAGCAACTATAGCTCTTCAGCTGATCTCTTTTGTCTCTGTCTGCTGTTTGTTTCACTGGATCTTCTGCTTAATGCCGTCGTTTCCATCTGCAAAAGACCTCCCAACGTTTCCACCCTCTGGCTCCCGTGCCCCGTGCATCAGGGTCTTCAGATGTGTCCATCGCCTATGCACCAGGCAACAAGCCTCTCGGGCCTTGAGCCGCTTTCGGCGCTAACAGTTGCAGCGCCACTAACGGAGCAGGCCTCTGCATGCCCAGAGCAGCGGAAGAGGCAACCGCCACCATGGCATGGGTCATGTTCATGGGGTGTCTATTACTTTGTAACGATTCCAGTTCCGTGGATAGTCTGGGATGTGTTCATCTCCATGAATTCCCTTTTTTAAGGCAGGCTACACTCCCTGAAACCATGGCCCCGAAAGGAGGATTGACCATCAAATCCATTGAAATCGTCTTCATCATACCAAACAAATCAGACCAACTCCCGGGGTCCATGGGTCAATTCGTGGAGTGCAGGTGTTTCGGAACTTGCCTGGACAGATGCGGGTTTCACCTCTCCAGTTGTCCCAGTCGGCCAGTACCGAGCAAGTGAGCAACTACGTCGCCCATGTCCATGTCCATGTGTGTGTGGTGGAAGTCACAAAAGACTCTACCTTCACATCCCCCCCCGAATGCTCAATGTCCAATTCATTCCGACTTTTCAAGTCATGCATCCATGCAATCTTCTTTTTGCCAGGGCCCTCTTTGAACCTTTTGGGGGTGTCTAAGTCACATGCCGCGCCCGAACAACACGGCCGCGCGGCGGCCTCCCGGTCGCACCGCGAGAGGCTGAGGTCTCCGGGCCCAGAATCTGAAACATCGGCTCCATGTCCTCAGATCGTCGAGGTGTATCCCGTTTTCCTCCGTCGAGACCAGAGACGGCAGAGTGAGGAAAGACAGAGACGGGCCGCGTGCGTGCTTTACGCGGACGGCGAAAAAAAAGAGGTCCTTCTGGAATCTACGCATGTATGGTCTGTTCTCGAGAAATCCAAGGAACCTATAATATCAAATGGGTGTGGAATCTAATCGGGAGACCTAGTTGCATCCAAATACATTTTAGTCCAAAAAAGCGTTCCGATCCCGTTCCACTCTCGAGGACTCGCACGGGCATACTGCGTACCATCCAGCCTCTCCAAACATCCTCCCCCCAATCCAGCGTTTTGTTCCTCTTTTGAAGGAACCCCCCCCAAGAGTGAAGGACATATCCAAAGCATCCATGTAACTGGAACAGTTACTTACATTATAAGGCTTATATTATAATTGGTCAGGTCTAAATGTCATGATCGACTCTTCCATTCTCAATGGTCATCGAATGTCCTACAGGAGGGTTAGATTCAGATCAATGCTGTCATAGAAGGATTCAACCTCGGCCATTCTATGATCAACTAGGAATCCATTCATCGCAGACTACATTGGAGTGGTGCCAGGGGGGTCAATGGGGCGGCATATATGGCAGTCTCATGGGTCGTGTCTGGGCATAGAATGTCATGACATCATCTCACCAGCCATGTCCGCTCTCAGCCCGCGGCCGCCAGGCGCACCAGAGTGTTGCTCTTCCGCACGGCACCCAGCAGTCGAAGCCTCGGTTACTGTAAGCGTTCTTCGGAGCGGTCGGTGAACCAAAACCCAAGCAATCACACATTAAACCTAAATTCTCCTTAATAGCATCCTTTGCTCCGTTCGTAGTATGGCCAGGAGCCCCGTTCGTAGCTTCCTTTGCTCCGTTCGTAGTATGGCCAGGAGCCCCGTTCGTAGCGTCCTTTGCTCCGAGCCCCGTTCGTAGCGTCCGATCGCTCCGTTCGTAGCGATGCCCGAAATGCTCCTAGTAGCGTCCTCCGTTGTGAATGCAACATGTCATGGATGAAAAATCCCAGATCCATCCATGCAACTGGCAGAGTTTACGTGTACCCCACGCGTACTCCGATCATGTATATATGATCAATAGGGATATAGATGATGATGTACACGAATTCCAGTCCCATGGATGGTCTGGGAAAAGGACGGGCTAGTTATGGTGTCTCAGTCCGGGATCGAGACGAATTGGATGAGGACGGCTGGCAGTCTGTCTGACGTCGAACGCAAACAAATCCCATCTGCAGAGATTAGGATGAGACTCTGCAGAGTCTGTTTTGATGTGATGAGACTTGAAGTCGAACACGTCCTGTAAGCATCTTCAAACCAAGATCTGGAGAGTCCACTCTGGCCCCCAAAGGCTCAACAGACAGCCTCGGCACACGTTTTTGTGCGATGGAGAACGTCTGCCTAAAAACATGACGAAAATGAGAATTGCGTTTTCAGGATCCACAACATTTTTTCAGTGAAACCTTGCCTCAAGCACCACAAAACCTCTGCTGGTTTATAGTACTATATGTAATATACGTTTTGTAAAGCAGTGATATGTTTGAGTGACATCTTCTCTCGCAGCCCCAAGCCCTCGACTTTCGCAGTCTCAAATCATCGAGAGAACCAAGGGGTTTTTGAGACTGAAAAAGACTCACCGTGAGCTCAAACCGGGCAAGCACCCCCAATGCTACGGCCTACCGGCCCAAGCGTTCATGCAAGTGACACCGTAGCCACCTCCCTGTCAGGGGCTTTTTGTGCCATCTACTCTCAATCCACTATATTCAATTTGAGGTTCCTATCCCCATGTCCAATATTGTCCCGTTTCCCAAAATGAATTGATATATCTCTTGATCATCCCACTCTAAAATGCTTGCCACCTGGAACTGGGCACTATATATGGCTGTGAGGACACCCCGGTTGACCACCGAAAATGAACAGAATAGACAACCTACAGGAGATATCAGGAGACCACGGGAGGTCAATCTACCGCAGTTTTCGTTCCGGGCAAAACGGGTGCCATGACTTGCAGCCATATTGCCATCTGAACAACACCGGAGCTGGCACATGTTCAAGTAACGCTTACAAATGGAAACGCCCTGCTCGCGTCCTGCTTTCGCGGCAGCGCCCTGGGCGCCCCCGGCATCTCTCCTCTAGTTCGAGCCTGGCCGGTTCGAAGCGTCAAAAACTGCGCTCCGTGGATCTCAAGGGAAGGTGAGAATCTCAGATCTTCTGGGTGGTTGAAATCAACCTGTTGTCTTTTGGGCTTCATATTGGTTATACATACAGTATATATATAGTTTAATGACTCGCGCATCTTCTGCTTGTTGGTGAACATCCATGCAACTGAATTCATTTGACATGTTTCCATGTTAGGCTTTCGTACCACGTGGATGGCATGGACCACTTGGAAGACTCCATGCGATGTGTTCGGCAGAGCGTGTTTGAAACACATGGAAAGCATGGTACTCTTGCCCTTCATAGGGTGTGTCCGCTTCCATGATTGTAGTAGGACGCCTTTGGCAGGCTATTGATCCTTTGGCAAACGTGTTTGTCATTGTTCTTCACACACCACATCTTGACTGATGCGGCCTCTAGATCAAAGCCCAAGGGCTGCCCGTCAAGCCAGTAGTCGACGTTTCATATCATGGTTTGGTATATGTGTAAATTGATGCAAATTGTGTACCGTATACTTTTGGGTAGACCCATTCCCCCCAAACAGCCACAATTACTGGTAACACTGGTAAGATCATCATCATGTTTCAGAAACTGCACTCAAAACCCACATGTTTGTAACTGGAGATCCATCTTAGCGGTGTGCCCCTTTCAAGTTCTACGCTTCTGAGTCTGACAACTCACACAAACATTGACCCTTGTATAAACCATCAGAGAAGCTATATAGTATATATTATACACTTACAATTGTTTGGAAGTTTAATGAATTTTATATTAACGTCATTGACAAATCACTGTTGTCATGGAGCTGCGTGTCAGTCTCTCGGGGTGTACACGTGTTCCTTGCTTACAAGGTTGGGTAGTCTGATATTCACTTCAGTCTACTCCGTCTGCTCCAGTGGCGATGCTTTGCTTCATTCCTAGCTCCTCATGCCTGTGCAGCATATACTCTGGCCAAGGCCGAGTGTGACACTCCGAACACATCACATGGACGTGGAGATTTCACACCCCCTGTTTGTAGGAAGAGAATTCGGGCCCAATGGGGCCCATGCCATCCACGTATCCATGTGATGTGTTCGTCTGAGGTGTTGGCTCCTCTTTGAGCCGCTCCACCCAAGGCTTCAGTCTACTTGGGCGGGCCGGATGGGCCTCCACCGAGTCAGCTTGTCTTGATGATCTGTTGAAGGCATATTAACTAATATGTCACGAGATCACCCCTGGCTGTGTATCCCTCCCAGACGCTCCGTTCACAGCCCGACCGGTCCCTCAAAACCAGAGGGATTTGAGGGTCCAGAGTCCAGACCCTGCATATGAGGGTTTAGGAGCGTGTGGGTATACAATATATATAAATGTTCTGAAAGAAAAGAAACTCCGAACAAGAAGAAAACACCGTAGTCCACTGCAATGGCATCGCTGAGATCTGGTCATCCGTTCTCCCGTGTAGTCCACCCATCAGGCTTTGGAGTGCGTTTTCGGTGTCTTGCAGAAGTAGCCCACACCGGCCGAGTCGTGTGCCACTCTAAGGCACCCTTCTTCGTCTCACTTTCCTCACCAGCCAACACCAGGCAACTGCCGTGGTGCAGGATCGTCCGTCTGCCACCCGGTGGACCACGAACAGTGAGACCACCCAGTCGTGTGAATTCTTTCGAAAAGCAAAGGACAACGCTAGACTTCTTCAATCCTTAAGACAAACAATGATCTGGTTGGTGGTTTCAACTGAGTGCGTTCAATCATCCCAAGTATATAAGATATATCTTATATAGAGGTTGAACATGGTTGAACAATATCTGGAACCACCACCTGATGGTGGGAAAATTCAGAACCCTGAAATCCCTGCCTTGGGCCGGAGGCTGACGTCCGGCGGTCCGGTCCAAGCTCGCTCTGGGAGTCCAGGGCCTCGCCTTACAGTCCTCCTTGTGCATGTCTTCATCAGCTGGCCGTTTGGGACCGAGGCACGAGAGCCAGCGAAACGAGGCACAAAAGCGATGGGAGCGAGGGCGGTGTTTCTGAGAAAACCCGGAGACTGGTATGAGCCATGTACTTGGATTTGCTGTCCAGGAAGCGGCAACACATTTGAGCGTATTCCTCAGAAGGGGATGAACACCTACATGCAGGTTTAAATAAGAATCACCCGGAGCAGAACCAGGTGTAGCAGCTCCCAACGCTTTTCCGAGTGGCAAATGATTCTCTTTCCCTGTCTTTTCCAAACCCAATAGATCAGGTTAGACAATTTTCTGTCTAATAGTTAATTCCTTGCCTAAGACAAAAATCTTATCTATTTAATTTTCTTGTTATCTAATTTAGTTAACTTATAAGTTTTTGTTTACCTTTTTTTACGACAAAATGTACATTTTTGTTGTATCTTTTACTTTTTCCTGAGGAATGCATCAGTAATCCTACATCCAAGTAATCCTAAGTCCAACTGATTTCACTAATCCTACCCCTGTCACAACACATGTTGAGACACCACTTCTCAGAGGGCTGTTTTCACTGCTGCAGCTCAAAGTGCATGCCATATGACCAGTGATGCATCATTTTTGTGCAAGCATCTTCAGGAGCAACCCCTTTCACACATGTGGATCCCAACAACTTCAAAATGCCCATGTTGGATTCGCCAGTAAAATTCCACAAGCCTGGGGTTGACCTGGTGGCTGTGAGCAGCCAAGTGAAGAATGTCATGGGTCTTCAAGGTGTAGTTAAACAGTTGGACATCTTCTTGGGCAAAGTGGTCATACAAAAGGCTCTGCAGATGACACATGCTAGAGCATGCGTCCAACAAAGTTTTGGCTGGGCCAACTGGCAATGCAGCATCTTGCTTGTACTCATCCAACAATTCTTCAACTTGACTGTTGAGCTTGAGAAGTGTCAAGATTTGACGGTGCACAGCAATTGTCTGGTTGCAATGGTTAAGCCACAAATGAAGCACAACTTTGTGCAGATGGTGGATCTCTGCTGCTTTGCCCCTCAATTTGGGGGGGCCCACTTTTCCTCACAAACATTGTGAGTCTGTTGAAATAGTGGTACCTGTGAGTAATGCTCAAGGATTGGTACAGGGCCTTCATTTCTTCCCAAATAGAGAGGAGGTTTTGCAAAGGTGACTGGGGCCCCATCACAAAGCACAAGAGATGGAAAATGCTGGCGTAGATGTATTGATCATTGCCAAGATATTTGACATGCATCCAATCCAACATGACTGAGCAGCCTGTGACACCAATGGCTTGGAACAGTGGGTATGTGCTTTTGCCAGGCCATTCCAACTACTCTTGTGGCTCCCACTCCATCTCTGTGATGTGCTCTGGTGGGTAAAACTTTTTCCAACTCAAAGGGCCTGATCCCTTGCATTTGCAGACTGGGCACCCACCAGCTGCCAAGCTCCATCTGGGAAGACCCAGGGATGCTGCAAAGAAATCTAAATCCCCTTGGACTGAAACCAAGGCCAACCTGTAGCCTCCACAAATTGGCTTGCCTGCTCTCAGGAAGTCTTCACTGCCAGGGCTATACCTTGTGCAAATGTGGCTGAAACCAAAAACCAAAAACCTGACAGATGTTACGCCAAAACCAACATTGGCCAAGACAAAAAAATGCCACCCCAAGTGCTTCTCACCAGTCCAGGTTCTATCTGGAAATACACCACTCAGCAGACAACCGAAGCTCCACTTCAAGATTTCAAAGAAATTATGCAAGGTAGAAGTGGCATCGTTGCCATGAACCAGCAGCTGCTCATAGACCTGAGAGGCCCAAAAGCCAGGAATGAACTTGATAGCTGTTCTTTTGACAAAAGTAATCCTATGACACAGAGTAATCCTGTGGGTAAGAGTAACATAAAGAAGTAATCCTCGTGAGAAGCACAAAGCTGGTGACAAATTGTAGGCCAGATGCTCCATAGATGAAAAAGGTCCTCTGCTTGGTGGAATCATGTGACAAGAGCCCTGCCCAACTGCAGCACTGCTGGAGCTTGGCCCAGACCTTGCCGCACCCAATTGTTGGCACGGGATGGTGGTAGACATCCAATGGTCCTGGTCCAACAGACAGTGGCCTTTCATGGATGGGTGATGCTGGAACTTCTCCCAAAAAGTTGCCAAGCCAGCTTTGCCTTGTGGCAAGAAACAGGATTGCCAATGGCTTTGGTACTGCACCCACAAGCTGTTACAAACCAAGTGTGGAAGCATGATGCTTTGCAAAGCTTGGCCCCTTTTGGTTTTCATTGACATCTGGACTTGCAGTGGCTTTGGTAAACAAGAGACATCAGCCACCAAAGCTAGCAAATCCCTGTGTGGCAATTGTTGGCATGGGTACCTTCACTGCACAGCATTGAAAGCTTCTGCAAATCAGCAGGAATGTCAGAAGCACCAGCAGCTACCATATCCCTTTTTGCAAGAAGTGCAACCCGTTGGACAGTTTGGGACGACAGCTGCCCCCAAGACCATTGCTTCTTCAACCAGTCAGCCAGCAAGGAAGGCTTTGGAGCTGTAGCAGCTTGGTGCTATTCAAAGCTTTCAGCCTTTGTTGGGTTCCTCCTTTTCTTTTGTCGCAAAGAGGTTCCATCTCCTCCATGGCTTGTTCAAGTTGGGTGTGGCTTACAGAAAGGGCACACCTGTATAGATTTATTGATGAAAGGCTGGCAGCTTTGGTCAATGATTTTAGCAACTTCAAAAAGCATGTTGTTGCTAGTGTTGGCTTGGTGTTTTGCATCACCACACAAACACCACAAACACAATTCTGTCTTTTCCCTTGTGCCAAAGCACACCAGCAGTAACCCATGCCTTCACAATAGTAACCCTATGCCCATCACAAGAATCCTGAAGCAACCAAAGCAACAGTAATCCTATTGCCATTGCAAGAACCCTAAAACAACCAAAGCAACAGTAATCCTATTGCCATATCACAAGAAGCCTAAAGCAGCCAGCACAACTTTTTTTTGTTGCCACTGCCTGGTTTATAGAGCATTCTTCAGCTGCTCATGCCTTCTACAAACCTCGAGCTTTGCACACTGCTTTCAGTTCCTCAAGGCCTTCATTCACTTCTTCTGTTTTTGGAGCTAGGTCTGCAAAGAAGGATTCCACTTTTGTCTTGCTCCCACATCTGGCATTCATTCAAAGCACTGATGTTTTCAGAAAGCAAAGCCACCATAGCTTTGGCCTTTGAAATCAATTTCTCATCAGCTGCAGCCCTCACTTTGATCACCAATCTGCCGCAGTCTCGCTGCAACCTCTCATTGGCCCCCTTTGCATCCCCAACTGTCTTCTCCAACATTTTCCAAGAAAGCTTGACAACTTTTGGCTGTGAAGGGGGCACAGCCTGGTTAGAAGGAGGTGCCAAGCTCCCACCAGGTGCATACACAACACGTTTTTACCTTTCTTTAAGGCAGGCTGGGAATCTTCAACAGCTTCTTGGCCATACTTTGCCCAATCCCTTTTCCCAAAGAAGCTGGACATGCCAGCAAAGGCAGACACTTCCAAGGCCACAGAGCCACCTTGAAGATCCATCTGGTCTGCACTTGACTTGGACCTTCCAGTTGAAGTTTCTGCATGGTGGTACATGCCATCCTTTTCAAAGATTTGGCCAAGTGCTTCAGCACGGTTCATTGCAGCCTCATTGCCTTGAAACACTTGCCACAAAATCACCATGGATGGGACGCCAGTCTGTTGGGAAGCCCAAACTTTGTCAACATTTTTCTTCCAAGCTTGAAAAGAGGGGCTGTCACTGCGCAAGCAGTATTCCCCCTTGCTGTCCTGTTGAAAAAGCTTGTTGATGAGCTCTGTTCTAAACAGGCGAGGCTGCTTCTGCTGCATTGCTCCATCATTGTAAAGCTTCAAAATGTCTTCAGGGATTTGACCTGCCTTGAGCATTCTTTGGAATTTCCTGGCTTTTCCAAAATGCCTCTTTTCATTTGCTTTGTCCTTGGACTTGCTTTTCTCATCAGGTTCAATCTCTTCATCATTCTCAAAGCAACCTTCCTCCTCTTCTCCTTCTTCTTTCTCACCTTTGCTTTCAGCTTCAAAATCAAGCTTCTTCCAAGCATGTGTTCTTTCAGCCAGGGTCTTTGCTTTTGCCTTTGCTTTCGGTCCTGCTGCCAAGAAAAGATATGCCACAATTTTGAAAATACAATAATTCTGTTGTCTTTTGGGAAAAAGTAATCCTATGACAAAATGTAACCCTATGACAAGACAAGTAATCCTATGATTAAAAAACTCACCACAGTAATCGTAATGACAAACCCATGACAAACAGTAATCCTAGTGCAGCAAATAATTCTACCACAGAAAGCAATCTTGATGCAATTGTCCTGGGGCTGGTGTCTCATCTGTGTTGCCGCCTTTTTCCTTCTTCTTGTTCTTTGGTTTCTTTGCTGAAGCTTTGCCTTTTGGCTTTCCTTTTGCCATTCCTGAACCACTTGCCTTACCTTTGGCACCTCCTTTTGCTTTGGCTTTAGCTTTGGCTAAAGCTTTTGTTTTGTTTTCTTCTGTGGCTGCTGAATCTTCTGCGGTCTCTTTTCATCCTTCTTGTTTGCTTCTTCACTGCCACCACCTGGTGCAATGAGTGCCAGTTGGTCTTCACCTGTTGTCTCCTCCTGTGGTCCCTTTGCAGCTGGCCTCTTCATCCCTATGGCTAGGAGTTTGCAGTGGCGCTTGGAAAATGTAAAGCAGTGGCCACATATATGTAAATTTGTGCAGTTTTGTTTGCATATTTTATGTTCATATTTTCATAAAGTCATTGTAAGGAAATGGAAATGTAAAGTTTCATATGGCCAAGCTGGAGCCAAACAGTTGCAAACAATTCTAAACAGTGTTTGCCAAACAGTAATCCTAGCATGCTACGTTGACCAAGCCAGAGTAATCCTAAAGACTCCTTGGTTCCAAGCAAACAGTAATCCTAACAGGGTTATTTGGGCCCTACTTTATTGCCTACTGCAATACTTGAGCTTTTAGGGCT